TTACCCAGGCTGGAGTGCAATGGCACGGTCTCAGCTCACCGCAACCTCCGCCTCCTGGGTTCAGGCAATTCTCCTGCCTCAGCCTCCTGAGTAGCTGGGATTACAGGCACGTGCCACCATGCCCAGCTGATTTTTTGTATTTTTAGTAGAGACGGGGTTTCACCATGTTGACCAGGATGGTCTCGATCTCTTGACCTTGTGATCCACTCGCCTCGGCCTCCCAAAGTGCTGGGATTACAGGCGTGAGCCACCCCGCCCCGCCCTCTTTTTTTTTTTTTTTTTTTTTTTTTTTTTTAAGAGACAGAATCTCTGTCTGTTGCCCAGTCTGGGGTGCAGTGGTATGATCTCTGCTCACTGCAACCTCCGCCTCCCAGGTTCAAGCAATTCTCCTACCTCAGCTTCCCGAGTAGCTGAAATTACAGGCACCCACCACCATGCCCAGCTAATTTTTGTAGAGATGGAGTTTCACCATGTTGACCAGGCTGGTCTTGAACTCCTGACCTCAGGTGATCCACCTGCCTCGGCCTCCCAAAATGCTGGGTTTACGTGTGTGAGCCACCGCACCCGGTTTCTATTCACTTTCCATTGCCCTAGAATGTGTAATCTCTTCTTCACTGATATGTTTTTCATTCTGTCTGCTGTTGTGAATGTGTACCTTTTAAAATTTCTCACTCTTTTTAGTGGAGTTTTGTGGAGGGGTGGAGAAGATGTGTCTGATCAATCTGGAGCACAGAGTGCTTTAAACAAGGGCTGTCCCAGAAATTCCAGGATGGCCATCTCTAGTAAGAGTAGCTGCATGGTTTTCAAGCTGTGAGAGGGGGCAGGCGACACTCAGGGACGTGGATCGTCTCCGTGTGAACTCAACAACTCCCACAGACACTTGGGAGCCAGGGACGATGGCTGAGTGTCAACGCATCTTTGAAGCATTAAGTCCACTACTCAGTGGAGTTTAAACTTCAAACCTCTCCAGGGCTGCCAGATTTGAGCTTGGAGGACGTGGAGATAAACTGGAAGAGAGCTCAGGCATCGCCCTCCATGTCTGCCCAGGCCGGAACAAAGCCCCATTATGCGTCCTGATGCATATGTACAGAACAGACCTCGCTTCTGCCTTGCAGGATATCTGGCAAACCAAGATCATAAATCTGTTGCAATTAGGCCTCTAGCCAGGTCGTCCCGTGGAACTGTTCTGGCAAAGGTCGCTCACGATCTCCTAATTGCCAACTCCAAGACAGCTCATCATGCTGGTCCTCTCAGCAGCCCGGGGACGCGGTTGATCACCGGCCTCCTTTTCTTTACCAGTACCGGTTTATTAAGTTACATTGATAACCACACAGGTGAGCTGATTTGATTTCCTCCCACTCCTCTGCCCCCAACACACACACTGCTCCATCTGCTCCTAGCTGCGCCTCTTCCCTACTTCAGAGCTTGGAGGATTGGGAAGGAGCTGGGCATTCGATTTTCTTTAAGGAAGAGTGGTTTACATAAATTGTTTAATAGGAGTTAGGTACTTAGAAGTCCCTTAATGGATACTGGTTTGCAAAAACTGTTTACATTTAGATTTTTCTTTAAGGAATGTTAATTATTTAAACTATCATTAAAGCACTGGGTTTTAAATTTGCTTAAATCATGCCCTGGGGCCAAGTGGGAGGATCAGTTAGCTCCCTAATAGAGAATTTTAACCCAGGTGTAGCCCCAGGCCACAGAAAGAGTAGAGGAAGCTGGGCTGGGTTGCCCTGGCCCAGCCTCCCCTGTCAGTGAACTGGTGCAGATCATTTTTAGCACTTGGTTGCTGGTGACAGCAGACTGAAAGCTTATAACCAGGGACCCAAAGCCCCCAGAGAGGGTACTGTCAGGGAAATCCCTGAAGTCAGTCTTTGAGAGTCACAAGTCAGGGCTTCCTCACCAGGTGAGGCAACAGACAGGAGGACCAGGCACTGAAGACCAGAGGTCAAGGTCTGCTCCAGGGGACACTGGACAGCCCGCTCCCACCCCTTGCTTGTTCTCTCCCCTCTGTGGACTGATGGTACACCCCAGGGTGGGAACATGGAATAAAATGTATTTATTTCCTGAGTTCTGTAACAGCGAATCCAGTTGGAAATCCTGAGGTCAGGCCCCTAAGAGACCTGCTGGGGAAAGTGGTCAAACTGGTTCCTGGTGCTTTGGGGGCTGGTTTGTAGGAAAGCCCCTGGAGCTGAGCCTCTGCTCCAAGCCTGAGCTATGGACTGCCATAAGACACCTGCCCCAGGCTGATGCGAGGTCAACACTGATCTGGATGAAAAACCCCAGAACTCAGTCATCAAGTGCAGAATCTTAACAGAGTCCTAACAGTCCTAAGATAAGGTATGTCACTTATGACCTACAGGACAGTGGTCAGGTAGGCTGGGCAGCATCTACAGAGAAGACCTTGACATTCTAGAGCAGCGCTTCCTACATTTAGCTGCCCATTGGAATAACCTGGGAGCTTGTAAAAATCCCAGGGCCCAGACTGTAACCCAAAGCAACTAAGTCCAGATCTCTGAGGGTGGGACCCAGGTACCGAATTTGTTACAGCTCCCCTGGTGATTCCAGCATGCAGCCATGCGGGAGCCAGTGGCCTCGAGTCAGGTTACCCCATTCCCATCCTAATGTATGGTACCTAGCTGTGCAAGCCAGAAACCTAGATGTCACCACTGTGGTCCAAGCATCACTAAATCCTCCAGGGCAGCCAACTTCCCCAACATCCCCAGGGTCACCCTCATGAAGGAGACAGTGCGCCCGGTGCCCCCTGGAGTCTGTGATGCTGTGGGCCCATATGATCCTGCACCTTAAGATCCCGTCCTCTGTCTTCTCCCCATCCCCACCGCCACTGCCTTCCTTCACTGTCTCCATCACTGGCCTAGACTATTGCAATTGTCTCCTAACTGGCTCCTTCATGAATCCAGTCTCTGCATTGTGCCAGGTGATCTAAACACCACATCTGGTCATGCCACTTCTCTGGTTAAAACTCATTAATGGATCTCTATAACCTTCAGAACAAAATAGGGACCCTACAGCACAGCAAGGAAGACCCCCTGCAGTGCTACATCTCTCTTTTGGGCCTCACCTGCTAACCTTACCCTGCTCACACCCTCTGATCCTGTCTCTCAGTGCTGCATGCCATGTCACACCTCTGCTCCCCTCCTTAGCTGCCTGGCAAACACATTCCTTCATCTCCAGCTCAAGAACAGCTCCTCTGGGAGCCTTTGCAGACCCTACTGAGCCCAGAGGGTTTCTCATGCCTGCAGGCAACCCCTCCCAAACCCTCCCCTCAGCATTGCCTTTATTTGTGTATCTATTTCTCTTCCTCCCTTCAGGCATATTACACTCCCAGAAGGCCTTCATCTGCAGACCACGGGAACCAAGAAAAAAGCCAGCTGCCTGGAGCTCAGGGTGGGACCCCTGGGTCCACCTTCTTCTATCCACTTTGAACCCCCTCTGCACTGGCTTCACCCAGGCCCTGACCTGCTGGATTTGGCATCTTGGCTTACTTTCCCCCCAGTTGGAAACTAGGCTCTGGACTGGCTGCCTGTGACCGAGCTGACAGGCCACAAGATGCTGCTTCTGGGAAACTTCCCCTGCCTCGCTCCAGCCCAGATCCCAGGAATATGCTGCACAGCCCCTCAAGGGAATCATATGTGATCTCTTATATGCATATTCCTTGTGGCAAGGGACTGGGCCTGATTCACTTTGGAACTCAAATGCCTTGTACCATGCCTAGGACGAGACCTGGCCTTTAGTAGTTATTCAATAAATGTTTATTGGGTGGGTGAATGGATAGATGGGTGAATGGGCAGGTTGGCCGGTAAAGCTATGGATAGCAGGACAGATGGACAGATAAATAGATAAATGGCATTTCCTTTCAACTTGCCGGAGTTCCTCCCAACCCTTCCCTTCCAATGGGCATACTTTTTCTCCTCCTTAAACCTCCCCTCTAGCAACTATTCAAGAGCTGCAATACCCCTGGGTGTGTGGACCCAGGTGTGGCCAGAATGTCATACCAGCTTCTCAGGGAGGTCTCCCCTGTGGCAGTGAAACTCTATACTAAACAGCCCAGCACATGATTAAGTTCTAACTTCTGATTGGGTTAGTCATTCATCATGTTTTCCTGAAGGCGGGAAACTCTGCATATCTTATAGTCCTGTGGCCCCTAGCTTAGTTCTAGGGGGTACCCAAAGAATGCTTAATCATTGGGAGATGTACCCAAAGAATGCTTAATCACTGGGAGATGCACCCAAAGAATGCTTAATCATTGGGAGACCAGAACATGTCTCCTAGATATGAGAATTGAGGCCTTCCTCTCATTGAAGAAGAGATGGCCTTCCTTTCTCTACAATATTCAGCCACTGCAAAGATGGTTTGGCATCTGTTTCTCAATCTGGGATAAATGTTCTGGATCAAGGAGTCCCATTAAAATGCCTCTCAGAGCACTTAGGGAATTATGCTTGGGAAGTCCTTCTTGGCAGCAGATAATAAATCAATCACTGCTCAAAGAAAATGCTGAGTTAGAATGGGATCATTCAGACTGGGCTAGGATAGGAACTAAGAACACCCTTTCCGTGGAGGCTCGAACTCAGAGACCCTCCCGTGGATCTAGGCTGGGGACTTATAATGATCAACCAACCCAGTTTGCCCAGGATTGTCCCAGTTTTTGCACTGAAAATTCTGCATTCTCAGCCCCAGACAAACAGGGACAGTTGGTCATCCCAGCCTGGTGTTCTTTTCCTCCCTTCCTCATTAGCAGCCTTGCTGCATGATGCAAGAGCCCTGTGTATGTCTCCGTGTATATGTGGGCCACACCCCACCTCCACATGCTTTCCCCACAGTGACCCTGATAGCTGGGATCTGACGGCCAGTGAAAAGAACAAGTGGCTCCTTTTTCCAGCTTTAGGGGCTGAACTCTGAATGGCACCATTTGTGTTGCCCCACTTTGGGCTCTGGAATAGGGGAAATTACAGGAAGGGAAGGAAAGGGAGCATTCGTACCTGAAGAAGAGAGACATTGGCAAGGCTGAGTCTGAAGAGGTAGTTCCTGTGAAAACGGAAACAGACATCCTAAGTGAAAATGGATCTGCAGGCAGGACCCAGGGAGCAAGCAGCCTCCTGGCTCGGGCCTCCTGGGATGCCAGGACTGGGTGCTGATTGCTTAGGGTCAACCCCCAAAGAGAGCTTTACCTCTATTTGCTCACTTAATCTTCACACAACCCTGGGAGGAAATTCAGGAAGCTCCATGTTACAGATGAGGAAGCAAGGTGGGTAAATGGCCCCAGTCACAAGATAGTAAGTGAAGGAGTTAGGATTCAAACCCAGACTTTCTCCTAAGTCCCAGGTGTCTCTGCTCCCAGCCAACTCAGCAGGCCCAGGGAGGAACCCCTCGACCCCACCTTTTCCAACCACAGAGGCTGTTAAATGGAAAGCCTCACAGCACTCTTGCAGGGATGCAGACAGCCAGCTTCCTCCTACACTGGCCCACCACCCTGACCCACTCCTCCTCACACAGGCCAGCCACCTCTCCTGGCTCTGGGCCCCAGGATCCTGAGTCTGGTTTGTTTGTTCATCTCCTGCAGTCTCTCTTGCAGTCAGTGACTCCGAGTCTGATCTTTCTGTGGCCGCCTCTCTGGACTACCCTCTCTCATCTAGCCCAGACGACCCCATCCACCACCTCACCCTCCCTCTCCCCAGTCCAGCCTGCACAGGGCTTCCAGATTCATCCACCTCCAGTACAGTTTTTACCTTCAGTGGTAAAAAAGATGCTACTCCTAACAGTGATGATATCAGACACTTATGAAGTATTCTAAGTGTCAGCTACTGCGAAATTGCTTTGCATGGACGCTGGAGCCAGAAGGCCACCATGCACAGACGGGGAGACTTCCAGCTCAGCCACCTGCTGGGGGCCTTCTGAGAGCCTCAGTGCCTGCATCTGTACAGTGGGGAAGTGAATGGCTGTCTTTCTTGTTGCACGGGACTGTGGGGACACAGGGATGGTGTGATGCACAGTAAAAGGCCCTGTTCACATTGAACAGATGTAAAGTCTTGGTTTTCGCCAACAATTTTCTTTCTTTGCTTCTTCTGTCTTCTTTTGGCTATTCCTATTTTGGTTCCTGAACTTTTGAGGAATCAAGACTTCAGAAAATTCTGGCCTACCTCAGTTGAGGAGAGAAATGAGGGGAAAGGCCGTGGAGTGGGCCAGAAAGAGAAAGAGGGCCCTGCTGAAGGAATCCAGAGCTGAAAGGAGACGCCGCAGGCCAGGAGGCTTCTATTCCCAGCTCTGGCTCCAGGCCCAGGCCCCACTCAGCTTCTTTGCTGTCCTGGGGCTGGGCGGGCCTCCCGGGTGACTTTGGCTCCAGGCCTCTGCTGTCCCTCCCCAACCCCCACTCCAAGTCCTTAGCAGAGCTCTCCCCATCCCACCCTCCTGGCCTGGGAACAGACGAGCTCCAGCTTATGGCTGTGCCCCAGCTGCCTGCTCAGGTAACACAGGCATCTGCTCACAGCTTTAACAAATTAGGGGAAACATTGCATCACTTTATTCATTTTTATCCATCAAAAATCATTCATCACAACATCGCAGTCAGCTCTCCTGGGAGCTGGAATGTGAGAACAGAGAGAAATCTCTGTAGCTTGACCCACCCGAAATCTCCTGTGGAACAAGGCAGAGTTATAAATGAATATAAAATTTCCCTAGCCTGAATACCAGAGGTCCAGGGGTCAGAAATAAGGGGAAAAAATTCAGGCAGAAGAAAAGGAGGAAGGGAAATGACCTGGAAATAGGAAAGGAAAGTGGTGAGGACCCACTACATTGGCTCTAAGAAGCCTAAGGGACCAGGTCTAGAACGGATTTTCCCCCTGTCCATTTGAGGGCATGGCCAGGCTCAAGGACACAGGAAAAGGTGTCCCTCTGTCCGTCTGTGTGTGGGAAGCCTCCAGACAGAAAACATGACCACCTTCTGGGGGAAGCCAGGGAGTGGGTCAGGAAGAACAGTGTGACCACAGTCACAGAGTAACCTAACTGCTCCGAGATCCAGTTTCCTGGTCCATAATATGGGGGTAACCATAGAACCCACTTCCTGGGTTCACCCACTTGTGAAGATTTGACGATTTACTGCAGGCATGACTTACTACTTGTATTAAATATGTGTGTGATTTACTACCTGCAGTAACTGACTTACTACATATATGGCACATAAAATAGTGCCTGCCACGTGGCCAGTATGGAATAAATGGCAGCTTTTGAAATGCTTTCAAAAGGTTCAGGTGCTACGATTTGGATTTTTTAAGGTACACATGTAAAACGGGTAAAATCAGAATTAGGTTGAAGGATCACATCAAGGCCAGTTTCCTGATTGTAATGTTGTCCTACAGCTATGCAAGATGATAGCCTTGGGAGAAACCGGATGAAGGGCATATGGGAACTCTCTCTATTATTTCTTACAACTGTAGGTAAATCTACAATCATCTCAAAATAGAGAGTAAAACAATTACTCTCTTTGCTGGGAAAACAAAGTCCATCCTCTTGTATACTTGCATATGGACAGACTCCTCTGGGGGGTCAAGAACCTCACCACTGGGTGCACCTTCAGTCAGGGGTCCTGCCTGTTTGAGGGGCTGGCCCTGCTTTTCGCCATATACTTCTTTGCACCTTTTGAATGTCCTACCATAAGACAAAATAGTTTAAAAATTAAAAAATGAAAACAAAAATGCTTTCAGGCCCAGCTTTATAGCAGCCCTGTGAGGTTGGCCACACAGAGACTGTAACCCAGATTTTACAGATGAGGAAACGGAGGTGCCAAGGTCAAGATCCCCCAGGACAGGAACCCAGCTCATTCAAGCCTAGTCTAGAGCTCTGTTCTTGACTGGCTTCATTTTCATACAGCAAATGAAGGAGTGGAGACACTAAAGAAAGCTCCAGGGCAAGGACGGTCAGCTACAGCGTGGCTCAGGAGTGCCCGACCCAGTGGCCACCCTCTCCCCAACCCCACACCCACTGAGTCAGAACCTCTGGGCTACAGAGCTGAAAAATACCAGTGCAGTCCCAGGCCATGAGATGGATGGACCTGCAGAGAAACTCTAGGCCTAGGTTAAGGAGACCTGACTCTAGTACCCACATCCTGCTGTCATCATGCTGTGTGATGCTGGAAAGGTCACCTTCCCCTCTCTGGGCCTCTGCTACCGCCTGTTTAAAATGAGGACGGTGGGACGACACCAGAGATTCTTGAACTTGAGTGTGATCAGGCCATCTGGAGGGTTGCTAAAACACAGTTGCCTCTTCCAGAGTTTCTGACTCAAGAGGTCTGAGATGGATCCAAGAGTCTGCATTTCCAACACATTCTCAGGTGCTGTGGGGCCAGGGACAGCACTGTGAGAGCCGCTAGAGTCGGCCCTCTCTAAGCCCTCTCCCTGCCAGAGCTGATGGTCTATGGCTTCATGAGGAATGAGCTCCTCCTAGTCCAACCCAGAGAGTCTCCACAGGTCCCCCCGGAGAGTATTGTCTGTTGGATATTGGATCTGAATAGTGGGCTAAGAGGTCAGGCCACAGGCAAATGAGGTCCTTCAGGGAAGGGTCTACCCCTACCCGGCTGTCCCAGGTGCAGGCCACCGGCTGGCCGGCAGGGGGCTCCTGGGCACCTTCTCCACTGAGCTCCCAGGGAGTTGGCCCAGGGAGCCGTCCCGGCCTCCGGGCAGGGACAGGTCAGGAGGTGGCCAGCAGGCGTCCCTGCCCTCACTAACTGCCAACCATAGAGGCCTGCAGCTGACTGAGATTGTGGGGTCAAGAGTCACCCTCGCCCCCTCCCAACCAAAACATGCTTCCTTCTGTAAGGGGACAGACATCCACACAGAGAGGGCCCAGCAGTGAGGACGGGCCCAGCACGTGGGTCTGCCCAGGTGAATTCATCCCGAAAAATATTCCCTCCACCCAGCTCCAAGCCCCTGCACCTCCAGCCCCAACCCTCTTGTCCCTTGTTACCTGGCTCCCACGATGAGCTGGTTCCTGGAGGGGTCCAGGGCGATCTGGGAGAAATCCCAGGCTCCAGGGTAGGTGAAATTAGAGACCCATGGCTGCAGATCTGGTGGAGGGAGAGGCAACTCTGAGGTTACTGAAGAGCCAGGAGCTCCCAGCTGCACCCACAGCAGACCACAGGACAGAAGGGTGAAAGTCTGGGGAAAGTGGGGTGATGGCACCCAGGAGACCTGCCCACCTCTGTGTGGCCCCAGGGACTTGGGAGTGGGTGTTGCAGTCACTTAGCTCAGAGGAGGGTATGATCCTTCCCATAGAGGCACGAAGGGACACCTACACTCGCCCTTGACTCCCCGCAGACCCTCACTAGCCACATCAGTACACGCTGGTAAATCCTGCCTGTTCTACCTCTAAACTGCCTCTGAAATCCATTCACTTCTTTCCTGCTGTATCCCACCCCCATCCAAGCCACCACCAGCTCTTGTCTGGAGCAGTGCCGACAGCCTCCTAACCAGCCTGGCTTCCATGCCTGCCCCTCCAGTCCATTTCCCACAAAGCAACCCAAGCACTTCCTCTCAAATGCAAATATGGTCATGTCACTCTCCAGCCCAGAAGCTGTTCACAGCTCCCAACTACCCCCAGGAAATGTCCAGCTCCTGCAAAGACCCTTGGGTTCTGGCTCACGGTCTTCCCAAGTCCAGTTCCTAGCACAGTGATTATTTACTGATCCCCTGAAAGAACGATGCTTCGCCTTTTACATATCCTAAACTCTCCACCCCAGCCACACTAAACAAACACTTCACACTGCCCCAAATCCATCCCACAAGAGCCTGCAAACCTTTGTGCTTCTGTTCTCCTTCGATGGAACAATTCCTGTTCACCCCCATCCCTACCTCCTCCAAGAAGCCTTCCCTGCCTGCTTCAAGCCGGGTTAAGGGCTTCCATAGTCTTCTATTTTACTTTTACTGCCACACTGTGTGTCTAGCCTGGTAGTTTGCCCTGGGAGCCAAGAAAGACTTTCTTCCTAGATCTCCAGGCTCAGTCCAGCACTTAGCCGTGTTTGAACATATATATGAATAATCCTCAATCCCTTCTTGTATGAGGGGAATTGGATTTTCAGACAAGATCCCGCAGAGGTGGAAGGTGCCGAGACTGGGCGATCAGTGTCCACCCTGCCTCCAAGGAAGGTTGTTCCTAATCGAGGCCTTTCAAAGGGACTGGGTGGGTAGATAGGAGACCTCACAGCCTCTGGGAGGATGGGTAGTGGTCTGGCAGGGCCTCCCTCCTGCTGGAGACACACTTGTCCCTTCTTGGTTCACAGCCTCCTGATAGCTCTCCCTCAGCCCATGCGTGGCCCACAGACGGGAGGGAATTGACACCAGTAAGGACAGAGCCATGGAATAGAGGAAGTTTCATGCCGAAGCTGGTAAAGATTCAGGGGTAACGGGAGGCACTGTGCTTTCTCCCCACAGTGCCTTAGCAACTGGCTCACAGAAGGTGGGGGGAGGAGGTGGGGGGAGAGAGAGAGAAAGAGAGAGAGAGAGAGAGAGAGAGCCTGTGTGTGTAATCCAAGGGAAATAAATCATTGCTCATTATCCCTCCACTACAGAGTAAAAGCAGCGCTTCATTTCTGCACGACAGGCAAACACTTAATCGCTCCCTGGAGAACTGGAGGTTTTGTGAGTTGGATGTTTTTCAGAAAACTGTGATAGGCATGATTAAAAAAAGAAGAAAGAAATACTGCAGCAAAATGAAGCAATCCCCTTGGGCCTGCCTCTGCCCCCAGCAGGTGACTATAGGTTGGCAAGAATTGTCATGTAGCCATGATGGCTTTTGGATGATATAGGATAAGAAGTGGATCTGGAGTCTGATGGGTTGGATTTTTAGCTGACTTCTTAGAAATCCTGGAGAAATATTATATTACCCTAGAAATGAAACCAAGGGTCTTCCTCCTCCAGGAAGCCTTCCTGGATTACAACCTCTCCACCCTGATCTTATTTTGTTTCATGTTCTGTCTTTTCCATTCCATTTACATTGTATGTTATTGTCACTCTAAATGTGGTCAAATCTTTTCTGTGTGTATAGGGTGGGGTCTTCCCTATCCCTATGAGACTGAGTGCTCCTTAACAGCAGCAAACAGGTTACACCTTAATTCCCTCCTTCCCTTTTGACAAGGGCATTCCAGATGTAGGCAGCTGAATGAGGGAGGAGGTGGCATGATGGGTCTGCAGTACTCCATCTGGGAACTCTCAGCTCTGTCTTCACTTAGGCCCTTTCTTGGGGAGGAGGGGAAAGAAGAGGAAACAGGGTAGAAGCTGGGATAAAAATGGGGAGGTGGGAGTGAGGGCATAGAGGGCGGTGGCCTCTTCCAGTTCCCTTCTGCCTCCCGTAGCCCCGGCCCACAAGGGCAAGGGGGATGGGGAAGTGGGGAGAGAAGGGGATGGGGAAGTGGGGAGAGAAGGGGATGGGCAAAGGACAGGGATCCTGGGGGAGCCTTGGGAAGGGAACCAGCCTGCTTGCATTAAACAGGCCAAGGGGACCAGAGGGAAGGCTGTCTTTGAAACACCAAGCACGTTCCGAGTTCCGTGTGTGGTGAAGGCTTTGGACGGTGACTTTAAGGGAAAAATGACATTCTCCAAGACGCGCCTGTGATTTTAATTACAGTCAATTCAATTACCCACCTTGTGGATTAACCACTGACAGCGTTAAATCCAGGCTGGCTTCTCCTGCCGCCTAGAAAGGTAACACTGGCAAACGAGAGAATATGCAGGCTGAAGAGAAACACAGCTTGGCCCCCCTTAAGAGAAACCCACAGGAGAAAATTTAACCTTACAAAACAGAAAAACAGCAGTCAGATTCTGCGACTGGCAGCTCCTCTAGGGTATTTAGGGGTTATTCACAGCTCAGTCAGGTGTCAGGGGAGAGGGAAACTCACAGTTACAAGGCTGGCAGCCTGAAGATTGGTCAGAAAGGAAGTGTGACATCCTAGGGGGTTTGGAGGCTGGGGTTGGTGCTGTCCGGGATTAGGGCCACTTCTCCCCAACGCAGCATCCCCAGAGCACAGTCCTTTGCCCAGCTCGAACTGAGTCCCTACTGTGTGCTCAGCCACACTAAGGAATGTGGGAACACAAGAGAACTAGTCCTGGTCCAAGAGCAGAACCAGTGCCAGCTGGGCTGAGGGACCAAAGGCAGTGACTTTTTACCAACAGTATGAGATCATTAGGTATGCAAAGGAAACTGTTCGCCTCTGAGGCCCCACAGCATCCTCTTCTGTGCCTGGTACCAGGCAAGGCACAATGAAAATATAGCAAATGGTTAGGAAAACTGAAAGCTGTCAGAATAGGGAAGGGGAGGAGGGCATTCCTTCATTCTGTAGGAGGGTGGGGTGAGAAGTCAGATTCATTCAATTCGTACCTGAGGATCAAAAATGGTCTCAAGGAACCCAGGCAGGCAAGGAAGGCATCTCCCACCTCTCTGACTTCCTCCCCCAACCCAGTTTGCACCAACAGAGACCAGCCTAGTGGGGGGACAGGGATTCCCCAGCTCCTCTTCCACGTCCCTGCCCCCAGACTCAGCCAGGCCAATAGTGCCCCCCAACAAAGCCCCTGGGAGGAAATGTTTCATTAGGGCCCCAGTATGAGGGCGGTAGCCCTAAGAATCCACTACTTCCATTCCCCTCTGTCCTTCTGTTCAGTGACAGCCACCAGCACTCCAGGAGCCATCAGAAGTCGGAGGGTGTGCACGCGTTTTGCAGGCTTAGGACATTGTTAATTTACTTTAATCCACTTAAGCCTTCAAAGCTTTGGATCCCAGCTCAAACGAGACAGCTAGAAACCTTCCTCCCTGAGAGGAGTCAGCCACAGCTGGGAATCCCACCCTTCTGCAACGTCCCCAGACTCTCCTGCATACTGCCTCTCCCACCTCTCAAATCCTAGGCCTCATTGGTTGATGCATCTTGCCTGACCCACTCCTGCAGGATGGGGCTCTGTGTGTCCTCCTGTCTGGGCCACCAGAGTGTAGAGCACCTGACGGCTCTGCAGTGGGCAATGGACAGAGCACTGCACGTGGAGTCAGGAGCCCAGCACTGAGGATGGCCCGTCATGCCTAGGCCTTCCCATCTGTAAATGGCAGTGACAGTCTCCTTGCACTTCCTCCCCAACATGGTTACTATGAGGAGGAAATTGGCCAGTGTCTATCAAACTTAAGAACCTGGGGACCCCCGAGACTACATCTGCAGATCCCAGTGAGAGCTGCCAAGTGGGTGGTGGGTTAAGAAGTACTAATGACTGTAGCACAACCAGGAACCCCCCTTCCAAACTGGGTAATAGGTCATGACAGAATGTCTGGAATGCTCTGGTATTTGTGTGTGTGTGTGTGTGTGTTTTTAGCAAGTATCAGAATATATATGCTAATTTTAGAAACTCTTATCAAGAGTTTACAGACTCCTTGGAACATGTCCAGTGATTTACAGATCCCAGTTTGGGAAACACTTTAATAGGACATTCTCACACCCTCCCTTGACAAACAGAAGGAGTTATGAGTCACCAGGGCCCTTGCACTGGAATTTCCCAAGACCCTAAAGAGAGGGATCCCTGCAGCCCCTTAGAGCAGAAAGCAGATTTCCAGAGATCTCCTAATGCATGAGTCATGCTGAGACCCCTGGCCACCCACACCCAGTGCATCCACAACTTCCTTTTCTAGCAAAAGACTCCCTTTCCCCCAGGTTGGCATGCATGAAGGGCCCGAATAAATTACCTAGAGACAAAAATTAGACCCCTCCAGTCCATCACTTTCCATCCTTTTAAAACATCCATTACCAAAGGAAGAGTCTCAGGACCCCGGGACCCAGTAGTTAATGAACATCCCAAGAACATCCAACAGCCAGAAACATCCTGCCAAGGTCTGACCTAAGTCCTTCAGGACACAGCTATTGTGAGACAGGTCCAAACAGGAAGCAGCTCTTACCTTCAAAGGCCACGGTGGGGTGCTCGCTCAGGGTGCACAGCTGCTGCTCACTGCTGGGCTCACTGGAGACATCCTGGGAGCTGGAGAGGTGGAACACCAGCAGCGTGAGGCTGGGCAGCAACAGCGAGACAGCCAGGGGGCCTGCAACCACCATGATGGGCCCCTCTGCGGTCCTAGCTCCGGGAGGCAGACAGGGGAGGAGACCTGCAACGTAAACACTCAGTCTCACCAAGTGCTTCCTCCATCTGGGCCCGCCGCCCTCACTTTGCTTGTGGTTGTCAGTGGCCCCACAGGGTTTGAAAAATAAATTTCTATTGTATTTATGTTACCCAGGATTCGCTCTGCTCTGGTAAATCCAAAGATATAGATCATCCCCTGAAAGCTAATTTCCCTTGTAATAGTATTCTGTACAAAACTGACAAATTATAGTGCCTTTTCTATTTATGATCCCAAATGGTTTAAAATTAGTTTTAATGATAAAGGTAGTATCTTAGGGATTTTAATAAACGGAGCTGAGGCCATGGGTAACTATTTGTAAAAAGATAAATCTGGATCCATAACTCATACTTTATATACTAGGAAAAATTCCAAATAGACAAAAGATTTCAACGTTGAGGCTAAAAATCATAAAAATACTAGAAGAAAATTCTGGCAGGATCTTCTGTACCTTGGCATGGGAAACCATGATTCAAAATCCAGAAACCATCAAAGATTGATAAATCTGACTACATTAAAATCACAAACACCTGGACTTCCCTTTCCTCTCCCCCAAAACAACATCAATCAAAATCATAAGGGAAATGACAAACTAGAAAAAATATTTGCAATTCATATCACAGACAAGAAACTAATATTCCTAATATATATAAAGAACTGAAACTGCCCTTGCAAAAACTATGACAGTGCAGGAAATCTGACCTAACAGACTCCATCTTGTTTCTAGCCTGCAAGTTGCCCTTGGTCATTCCTGGGCCTAGGCCAAGCTAACTGTGGAATTTAGTTTACAATTTAACTTCGAAGCAAAGAAGATTACAGCCCCTTCCCAAAGCAAACCACCTCCTTACTTGGGGAACAGACCTTTGTAATACTAACAAGTTAGCCACAAGGTAGGAAAGTATGGCTCACGAGTCATTCAGCCAGATGTCACAAGATTCCTGATTGCTCCTATACATAACATCATGATTGTAAAACCTGAGGTTGGTATTCTAGGCATTTTTCAGACACTGCACTCTGTTGGATCTGCTGGTGCCACCCAGACTGGTAAATTGGTTCATCTGATCTGTGATCCCCTACCCAGGAACTGAACTCGGCACTAGAAGAGGGGCTTTAAGTTCCTATGATTTCGTCCATGACCTCAGCAGTCAGCACTCTCCACTCCCTAACCCCACTGCTCCCCAAACTATCCTTTAAAAAACCCTAACCTCTGAATTCCGGGGGAGGCCATTTTGAGTAATGATAAACACCTGTCCTTCTGCTTAGCTGGCTTTGCTTCTATTAAATTCTTTCTCTATTGGAAAAATCTGCTCTTCTCAATGCATCAGCTTTTCTGGACAGCGGGCAAGGTGAATCCATCAGGTGATTATAGAATTTCTAGGAATCAAGAAGGAAGAGACTAACAATCCAGTAGAAAAATAGGCAAAGAATATAAATACAAACAGGGGCTTAAAATATGAAAGACACTTATCCTCACTCATAATAAGAGTAACACAAATTAAAACAGACTGAGATATCACTTCTCATCTATTGGTTTAGCAAAAATCCAAGTTAGATGCTGCAGTCTTTCGGTGAAGCAGTGGGTAGAGAGCAACTACCATATACTGCTGTGGGGGTCGGGGTGTGCAAGACGGCACAATCCCTGTGGGGTTATCCTGGCAATATCTGGCAAAACTGCCCGTGTAATTACCCCTTGACCTAGCAAACCTAATTCTTTGCATCTACACTCGTGCTTCTCAAAGTGTGCTCCACAGACCAGTGTCGATTCACACACTGGAACAACTCCACGGTCAGAGAAATGCAGAGGTTTGAGAGTCAGTGTTTAAAAATCTTTACAATAATTTGACAGAGTAATTTTCAGTGTATTGAATCTAATAAAAAAATATTCAGGCTTGTATGTTGCATGCTTCCTTTCAATTCATTTCTCTAGTAATTTACTTTTATTGAATTTTACATAAGTATCCATCTGTGACAGATTATAAATTAAAAAATCAAACCTGCTTCTTCACAGATAGTTGAGAGGCAGAAACAGACCACAGAGGTACCCGCACACGCGCAAAGTGACTTACGCACCAGATCGTTCATTGTGTCATTCTTTGAAAGAACAGAAAGGCAGGAAACAACCACATATCCAGAAATAGGAGACTTCCTAAATAAACTGTGGTGTATCTTCACAATGGAATATTATGCAGCTATTGAAAACTATGAAGATTTTCTCTATTTATTTTATTTCATTTTTAGAGAGACAGGGTCTTGCTCTGTTGCCCGGGTTGGAATGCGATGGCACGATCATGGCTCACTGCAGCCTTGACCTTCTGGGCTCAAGCGATCCTCCCAGTTCAGCCTTCCTAGTAGCGGGGACCACAGGCAAGCACCATCGTGCCTGGCTACAGGGGTATGCTCTGTTGTAAGTAGAGGGGTCTTGTTCTGCGGCCCAGTCTTTCTCCAGGTTTTTATATGGAAAAATCTCCATGTATATTAAGTGAAAAAAGTAAGGTGCAGAACAGCTTAGTAGCATGCTACCTTTTGTGAAAATAAGAGGGTAAAAATAAGAGCATATATATTTATATTTGCTTGTATTAGCATTGATATACACTAGAAAAATAAACCCAAACTAATTTTAGTAGGTTACCTATAAGTAGCAAAATGGAAATCAAGACTTTTCAGTAAATACCTTTTTATATTAATTTCACTTGTGACCAGGTAAACATATTGGCTACTCAGTAAAGTTTTTAGATTTTAGGAACTTTAAAAAAACTAGTTTGGGTTCAGTAAAACTCCTGAAGAAGCCCAAACACTTGTCTGGAGGCCTGACTTCTCCCCTCTGAGTCACCTCCCACCTCCTCTCTCCTTCACTAGTCCATCCAACATGTCACCAAGCCTGGCTGACCCTACCTCTCTCAAAGGTCTCTGATCCAGAGTGATCTTCTTGGTGTCACTTTCTTCAACAATGAGCCCACCAACCCCTTTTCCTGACATTGACCCCTGTCCCCTCAAACAGGGCCACAGGGCTGGGGAAGAGAGATTAAAAGGGCAAGACCAAATCTCTGGAGCCAGACAACCTGAGGCCCAATCCCAGGACTCTTCCTTGCTAGCTATGTGACTCTGGGAAAAACACTTAACCTCTCTTTGCCTTAGTTTCCTCAAATTGGGGATGATAACAATATCAACTTATTTAGCAGTTGTGAGGATGAAAGGAGTTATTACCTTTAAAAGGCCTAGAACAGTACCCGGCAGACACTGAGCAATCAACTAGGCTGAGTTATTCTGGTGCTCTGGGGAGAGAAGCACAGGGACTGGCGCATTTCCTTTTGCCCTCTGATTCTTGTGCTGGATGCCCTCTGTCTGCACCTCCAAATTTGCCCTGGCTCTCCTCCTCTCTGCTCTGTGCCTGGGAGGTGGATGGATGTGGGGGAACTGCATCCAGGGAGGCCCTGCTTGGGTTTGGCCAACAGAAGGAGAAGACAGCAGGGTGAGCACAGCTGCATCCCTGGACAGACCAGAGCTCCTCTGCTTCTAGGCTACAGAAGGAAATCGATCCCTCCATCCTCCCTTCAGAACTAGGGGTGGTGCCCCCTCCTTGGTTACCAGACCCTGGGTACTGCACAGGGAGTTATCCCACATGGTTCCCAAATCCCCTTCCTACACCTTTGTAAACATTTCTTTTATTAAACTGCCCTCACATTGCCCCATGTGAGTGTGCCGTCTGTTTCCTGGGGGCTGACTGATAGAGCACCTAATTAGGGATACTCAATGCATTTGCAAAGAGCGGCTTTTTAGCCCTTCACTGGGGCTTTTCTCCTGTTAGCCCCTAAGGGCATCCAAGGTGCCAGGACAACTGCCCTCCCCTCACTATTCCCCACCCTCCTGCTGACCTGTGCTCCCTTCCCAGGCCTCCCTGCCTCCCTACCTCAGGTCTGATCACCACCTTCAGAGCCCCAGGCCCTCTACATGGCCAGATCCCGAGCTCCAGGGGCCTGAATTAGGAGCACATCCTGGGTCCCTTTTCTTACCCTGAACCCCAGGCCTTAAGGTACCTATGTTCCGCAGCAGAAGTTCCATTCTTATTCTGATTTTTATGTAAATATGTCCTTCAAGTCCCTCCTGAATCAGTAATTACTAGATTAATATTACTGCATCAACCTGAGCACTAGCACAGCACGTCTGTCTGCTGTTTCAGAAGAGAAGGGAGGGACAGGACATGACGGGTGGGGGAGGGATGGAGCAAGGTCTGGATCTGGGATCTCCTCTACTCAATTACCTTCCCTCCAGGCCAGGCAAGAGCAAGGCGTCCAGCTTTGCAAATTTCAGGACAACTGCAGGTATCATATGGAAAAAAGAAGAGTGGTCGGTCCCCATATCACTGAAAATATTACGGGGTCTGAGACGAGTTCCAGACTTGGGAGGTGACTTCCCAACTCCCAAAGATTCCCCATCTGTGGAAATCATTTCTCCCTTCATGGTCAAAGGGGTAGGCCCCAGCAGCCTCAGATGTACCATGGGGTCCCCATCCCAGCCATACCTGCTTGTACAAGGATGGTCATGTGATCAAAACAGACAAATCAGGTATCTCCCATGGCAATGTACGTGTGTGTAAACTCCCAGGTCAGGTCAGTCTATTAGACGAAACTGGAATATGTAAATGCGGGCCCTGTGGGGTGGTCATCCTTTTTTTTTTTTAAGACAGGGTCTCACTTTGCCATCTAGGCTGGAGTACAGTGGCATGATCACAGCTCACTGCAGCCTCAACCTCCCAGGCTCAAATGATCCTCCCTCCTCAACCTCCAAAGTAGTTACAGGCACATACCACCCCACCTTGCTAATTTTGTGTTTTTTGTAGAAAGAGTCCACTGTGATGCCCTGACTGGCCTCGAACTCCTGGACTCAAGCTATCCTATCACCTTGACCTCCTTAAGTGCTGGGATTACAGGTGTTGAGCCTAGCTAAGTAATCTTCTTCTTCTTCTTCTTCTTTTTTTAGACCCTGTCTCT